TTTTCTTTTAATAACAATTCACGCTTTTTTTTTTTAAAATCTCCGTTCATGAATTCCTTGGTTAGCCGGCATATTTATTTATTTTATATTTATTTTTGAGGAAAGTGATTGTCTGCATTTCAATCATCAGAAAAATAATTCTATAAAACATTAGTATCGTTCTGCAAAAAAATAAAAGAGAATATATACGAAATACTGACGACGTTGATCGCAGATTTTGCCTGTATAATTCCGAGGACATATACACAGGATTTTCTTAGATTTCATCAAACACGTGCCTCCATTAAGACAATGATTTTTTGGACATTTTCCTGAAACAGCAAATGAACATTATTTACAATTATATTTAGCATCCATTGTGTAAATGCATACATGATCAAAAATTATCGGAATTAGGGCTATAAAAGAAAAAAAAAACTACAGCACATATCAATTCGGCATTTAATCTCCTTCGAAGTAGTGCCCTTCAGAAGCAACACACTTCATAACGCGTTGTTTCCATCGATGGAAGCATTCCTGGAACTAATTCTCAGAGGTAGCGAGGAGCTGTCTAGTTGTCTTCTCTTAGATTTCATCGACGTCTTGAAATGCTGTTCCTTCCAAGTGGGGTTTGATTTTCGAAGAGTAAAAAGTCACAAGGGGAGATCTGGCAAATCTGGTGGCTGTCAGGGCTGGGTATTGTTGTTCTTAGTCAAAAATCGCTTCACAAACCATTCTCACTGATGGTATGTCTGTAGTGTGGTGAGACGACCACACTCTACACACTTTCCTTCCAAGGAACATAACCAACAGACGTGAACAAGAATGTTATAACTTAGTGTGTATATACGACAGAGGTCAAAGTCAGTCTGTGTCAAACGGCTTCATTCTGCATGCCTTAGACTGGTTACCATAGTAATAATCCCGATATATTTTTTATCATATTTTGTATATATTTTTAAATCATTTCACCCCAAGTAAGGTGATAAAATCCACTAAGATGCAAGTGGTAAGTGCGAGTGGAAGAAAAAAAATTCAAGCAGACAGAAGATATCGATTGGCATTGATTACATTTTTGAAGATCGTAGTTATATGGAAACCAGCATCGCCAGAAGAGAGTGGTGCTAGAGAATAAACTATCAGCATAGAACTTACGGTTGCTACTAGTAATTTCAACAGGAAAATGATGAGACCTAGGTGCCAATCTAGTACTGCGCTTCAATTTTAGTGGACGAGTAACCAAAGAGGAAAGATCATCATTAATAATTACTATGAAAATACTTATACAAAAGGTACAGGGAAACTATATTACGGCGCTGAGAAAATAAGTGAAACTGAAGTGACAGGTCATAATCAATAACGTTGCAGATTCTTCTTTGAATATTGTCAAGAATCTCTAGATATATATCAGAAGTATCAGATTATATGTGGCAGCAATATTCAATGCATGGACAAAAAGTAGTTTGTCTGATTTTTTTTTATGCAAATTACATAAACCTCAATCACTCGAAATTGTTTTGGAAGTTTATTGCCAAATATTTAAACGATTAATTTAGAAATCAAAACAAATTTTGTGTTAAAATTTTAGGTAGTTTCAACATGTCTTATTAAAGTTATTGGAATTATTATAAAAACTAAAGTCTGAAGTGATGCTAAACAAGAAAACACTTTTGACTGCAATAGCAAGGTAATAAAATCATCAACAATTGATCAACACCTTTAAGAGAACAAATACCTTTAAGAGAACAAACAACATAAATGATAAGTCTTTGAAGAATTTACATCTTAATCTAGTGACCTTTCTTCTCAATAACAAACAACAATCTATTATTCATTGATTTTGCTTACTTAGTTCAGCAGTTTCAATTTGCAACATGGTGGTTTTAATTTCTTCCCAGAGGTCTGCTTTGCTGTGATATTGTTTACCAATTCCATATAATTTCAACTTCACAATTGACCATAGATTTTCGATCGGATTCAGATCGGAACTTTATGGTCGCTATTTCATTATTTTCTCTCCTGTAAACCTTTTCTGCTAAAAAGATTCACGGGTAACCCTATATGCAGGAGAATGAGCATTGTCGCGCTTAAATAAATACTTCATTTTTAAACTGCTTAGCTGGGACTTATAACATTCTAAGAAGATTTTGTCCATGAAATCGCAATAGTTACCACTGTTCGGTTTAACTCCGTCAACGACTTTCAATCGTCCAATAATGTTTTTTCGACAGTTTCAGCCCATAGGATCACATTGCCGCCTCCTTGCTGCCTTCTTTTAGCCACAAGCACATTTTCATCGGGTGAAATCATTCTTTGGCTCATCAATCAGGTCTATCGTGTATCACCTGAGATTCATCCGTGAAAATTACTTAAAAAAACGTCAATTTTCATGTATTTGTTGATCCAATTTTGATACTTTCAATTATCTGCATTAATGAGAGGAGTTTGTCTAGGGGATTTCTTGACATCTTTTGTCCTTACCTTCTTGACTCCCTCAAATCCGGAAAGATCTGATCACTGGTCAAAAGTAGTTGTTTTCGCTATAACTAGCTTTATTATCTCGGAGAAATAAGTTTTTAAGACCTTTTCTTTGATTCTTGTTCTGATTTTACTTATATTTTCCACAGGCTTCTTTGTCGTTCGATGATTTCTGCAAAACTTCTTTGATATCTCCAATGTGGATATTCCTTCACTCACTTTGTTATTTTCTATTTTTCAGCAGTTCTTAGATCCTTCCCTTTACCTATGTTTCAATATATGTTATGAACAAAAAGAAAAAAATAGTTTGTATTAGATTTAAGAGGTCTTAAGCTAATACTAGTTTAATCTGCATATTAACTTCAGTCGGTCTATTTTCACAACTGGCCATAGATTTTCGATCGCATTCGGATCAGAACTTCATGGTGGCTATTCCATTATCTTCTTTACTGTAAATCTTTTATGCTCAAAGAATTTACGGGTAAGCTTAGATACATGAGAAGGAGCATTGTTGTGCATAAATACATATTTCACTTTGAAACTGCAAGACTGAGACTTGTACCAGGCAAAGAAATTCTTCTTCATAAAATCACAATAGTTAACATTGTTCAGTTTAACTGCTTCATCGATTTTGAATGGTTCAATTATAGTTTGGTCGAGAATTCCAGCCCATATCATAACACTACCACCTCCTTGTTGCCTTCTTTTATCCATAGGCATGCCTGAATTGGATAAAATTCATCCTTTGACCCATCCACCAGGTCCGTTAAATGTCACCCGAGAAAAGTCAATTTCCATATAATTCTTGGCCCATTTTTGATACTTTAAAATATTTGCTTAAGTGAGAAGAGGTTGCCTAGGAGATTTGCTTACAGATCCCAATTCACAAAGTATTCTACACCGTTTGACCTTCTTGACTCCCTCAATTCCAGCCTTTTCAAATTTCTGAGTGCTGGTCAAAAGTGCTTGTTTCGGTATAACTCGCTTTAGTTTACGTCCATCTCGATGAAGCAAATTTTTAAAGCCTTTCCTTTAGCTTCAATTTACTTATATTTTCAACAGCTTTCTTTATCGTTCAATGATCTCTGCAAAGCTCATTTGATATTTCCAGTTTCCCTTACTCAAGAACTTTGTGTTCTTCAGCATTTGTTAAATCCTTCCCTTTAGCCATGTTTCAACATATATTATGGAAAAAGAAAATAGTTTTTATTAGATTTCAAAGTTCTTAAGCTAATATTAGTTTAATCTGCATAACTTCGAGTTTTATAATAAATCCAATAACATTAATACAGCATGTTGAAACTACTCGAAAATTTAACACTAGTTTCGTTTTAATTTTTGAATTAATCGTTTAAAAATTGACTAACAAATTTCAAAGTAATTTCGAGTTATTAAAGATTATATGATTTGCATAATGACTTCAGATGGACTGTAAATGTTCAAAAGATAGATTCAGAATTTTTCAAACTTAATACGTTTTGTTGACTTTTATCCGTTTTCATATTAGAAGGGCGCTCCTCTGGTGTTTTCCTTCGTCTAGTTGAACGTTTACTGTTTGATTTTATTTTTATGGATTATCCACCCTTTTCAGGTTATTTAAAGCCAGAAAATATTTTTAGATTGTAATAGTTTTGAGGAGACAATAATGATTTACTGTTACTAGTCCTACTAATTAACCCATAGATGGGGGCAGAATAGGTAAATTCATACCTTTCCCAAGTGTATTTGCGCGGAAGTGAATCTAACGAACCTAACTGAAGATTTACAATTTCGAGCCGTTTACATCAACCGTACATCAAAGCTTACAGCATCTGGTATTCGCAAGCGGTCACCCATCTAGGTACTGACCAGGCCTGGCGTTGCTTAACTTAATCACCGATTAACATTTCCTAGCCATTATCCATTACACCATCCGCACATCCAAGCTTACAGCACCTGGTATTCCCAAGCGGTCACCCACCTAGGTACTGACCAGGCCTGGCGTTGCTTAACTTAATCAGCGATTAACAATCCCAGCCATTATCCATTACACTATCCGCACATCCAAGCTTACAACACCTGCTATTTCCAAGCGGTCACCCATCTAGGTACTGACCAGGCGCGGCGTTGCTTAACTTAATCACCGATTAACAATTCCTAGCCATTATCCATTACACCATCCGCACATCCAAGCCTACAGCACCTGGTATTCCCAAGCGGTCACCCATCTAGGTACTGACCAGGCCCCACGTTGCTTAACTTAATCAGCGATTAACAATTCCTAGCCATTATCCATTACACTATCCGCACATCCAAGCTTACAGCACCTGCTATTCCCAAGCGGTCACCCATCTAGGTACTGACCAGGCGCGGCGTTGTTAACAATCACCGATTAACAATTCCTAGCCATTATCCATTACACCATCCGCACATCCAAGCCTACACAGCACCTGGTATTCCCAAGCGGTCACCCATCTAGGTACTGACCAGGCCCCACGTTGCTTAACTTAATCAGCGATTAACAATTCCTAGCCATTATCCATTACACTATCCGCACATCCAAGCTTACAGCACCTGCTATTCCCAAGCGGTCACCCATCTTGGTACTGACCAGGCGCGACGTTGCTTAATGCTTCGATGATCGTACGAGGAGCTGTGTTTCAAAGTGATGTGGAGGTCAGCCAATTAATTATTTTATGTTATCGTTAAATTTGCGGAAGTTTCTGATGTTTATCTTGTATTATTTTTCCTTCAGCTTCCTGAAATTTATTAGTGAGACGAACTAATTCTTGGATTAGATTGGCCAAAATGTTCAGTGGAATTGCTGCACATGTATTTAGATATTGTTTGTCTAAGGGCCGCGAACGTAGTTGGTTTTCTGCGATATACACAACATCCTAAACAGTATTATCGCAATTTGTTAAAACTACGAAAGACAATTTTTTTCTTTCCTGAAGTTTGTATACTGTTTTTTTTTTGGCCGAATCTGTATTGAAATTATTGTATTTGTTTGATTTTGGTATCTTCATTTTTCCTATTCCTTTTGCTAACAACCACACATTCTTTCTTCCTATAATTAATGTGTAGCAAATAGACTGTGATAAAAGGTTCAAGATCCTTGAATAAAGAAAAACAGAAGACCAATTTTCTAACAATATGAAAGTCTTAGAAAATATTTAATTCTTTTTAATATCAGTAACTGATAATTAAGCTGCCACGCATACAATCTGACAGAACACACACATACACTTACACGGATATATATATATATATATATATATATATATATATATATAGTTCCAATAACTAGTACCAATTTTAAATGTGAATTCAGTTTAAGCGTCTAATGATTTGTTTCTTTTTCGTTCTTCTTCGTTCAGATTTGACGGACATTTGGGCAATATTACTTTTGTGACGTCCCCCGCTCGTTCGGGTGTCGCCGCTCCAAACGTGACGTCCGCCTGTCTGCGTCAGTCGTGCTATCCCGTCCTGTGACGACCAACTGGCTTGGTATTGGTCGTGGCACCCAAATGTGACGTTCTAACCTTTTGGTGATTCGGATGGGAATCTGGTTAGATTCGATATCAGCCTCGTCGTTCCCAACTCGCCGAAGTAACTACTTTGATCTCCAGTCTGCCTACCCACGTTGTGAATTGATCTTAGGCAGACGAAATCAATCGGTCGGCGGGGCCGTAATGCAAGTCGAGTTCGAATAAGGGTGGTATCGCACAAATAGATGTAAAAGAAAATAAAATTACAACTCAAAAAGTTCAAAGGTATCAAAAAAAGGATAACAATATTTTATATCTGGTTGCTGGATACAGGACTAAGTCTATCTCCCAACCCGCTATATGGATTCGTGACACGTTGTTTTTGTTAGGCGAGTCTTAACATCTTAAGTTGTCTGTTCTTTAAGAAACTGGTTCTTGGTGTGTCTTCAGGCGATATTCGTAAAACTTGTTTTGGTGGTATGAGTCTAAGTCGTTCTTCAAAAATAAATTGTTCTTGATTAGAAGATGAGTTCGGAAGTTGCGCGAATCTTAGTCAGCTAATGCGTGGTGGGTCTTCAGAGCTCTCAACTTAAACTCGAACTCACTGGAACTCAACTGGAACTGATTTTCGCTCGCTGCGACTTTGCTTATATGGACGCCGACCTAAACCGGGGTAGGCTCATCGGGGTTTGAGGTTCCTTGATAATTCCAAATCCACAATCCCCTTCTTTTGTTTTCGGTCAGGAAAAATTTATTATTTCCATTTTTGGAAGTCTTCTCCTACTCCCACATTCTTCTGTTCTCATATGGGTCTCTTACCATACCCTCAGAAGGCGTCAACAGTTTTCCTACTCCTTCGCAGTAACATCTCATACCTATCCCCTTAATGGGTGATAGCAGGCCTCTCCCCCTGCATCACATGATCACCTCCGCCTGGCTCTTGTTAACATTCAGCCAATTGGCGTTCAACAGTGTGGGTGTGACCAGACTAGCCTTGTTTTAAAAAAAATATCTTGATCAAAGAAAAAAAATTATCTCCTCTTTTTCTTTTTTCTATTTCCTTTCTTTCTTTTCTTTCTCTCTTCTTCTCTGGCCACCAACAGAACAATACGACCCGTAGTATGATAATCTCAATTCTTATCCCAAAGTCACTTTCATATGGAATTCGTCAATCAGATTTTCGCCAGCACCAAGTGGCTGGTCAACCAGACACACTCACTCTCCGGCGCCAACCACTGATACGAGGAAACGACTTCACCATTTTCTGATAATATTGTTTCGCTGTCATAGTCAAATTTCAACACAAAACAGACACCTTGTCTAACGATATCTTTCCATCGACAAAGACTTAACATATTTTCTTTGGGGTTTTTTTTGTATTTTTTTTTTTTTTTTTTTTTGCAACTCGTGTGTGGTCAGGACATTCTTATTTCTCGGTCAACGGAAAATCTTTTCCCGATAATATAAGTTCGCCACCATGACACAGTTAATTTTTTATCTATTCAAAACTCTGTATCTGGTTATTTGGCCCACCTGGAATTTGTCAATTAGCTTTTCGACAATGGCCATAAAATTTTCACCATTCTTCATTATCAAAATAACATCGCTAAATGCCCCTTTTGTGATGGCTTTCCTTTATCATCTAAGTTTTAACTCTCGCCTCTCTTTTTCTATCTTTTTTAATTTCCTCTTACTCCTAATCTTCCATATTACTATACCCCCGATGGCTATAATTATGAATGTACCCATCACTAACGACCAACTTATCGCGATCTGCTCATCGTCTCCCCAAGCCATACCTTCATTTCCCAACGCACTTAACTTGTCCCTCAATTGATCCATATCGATCTTTTCTATCGGCTTCATTAGTACTGGCATTTTATTCAAGGTAACATTGGAGAATCCCTTCACTATTGGCTCCCACAACTCTGTACAATTGACTAAGCTTCTGCCAATCATTTCTATAATTGAATCTTTCTCTTCATATCTTTCTTCTTCTTGGTAATAGGGGGGTAAGGAAATAGATATCCCGAATGCCGAACATCCCATGGGTAACTTTAACAGGGATAATGGTGACCTTACTCTTAATGTCCTTGTGGACTCTCCCCCACATACCCTAGACAAGCTGATAGGTTTCTGTGTGGCCACTGCCCACACCCCGTCTGAAACACTGATAGCATGTGGTAATTCCGTGTTTGCTAATATCTCTACTTGACAAGTTCTCTTAATTCCCTCTTTCTTCCCTTCAAACAATTCGAGTATGCACATTTTGTGGTTACCAGCTATATAGATAGGGCTTAACGATGTACAAGTCCCTAGAGCATCATTTCTACACTTTCTAGCTTCTTCAGCTCTTAGCAACATGAATTTTGTTTTCCCCGAATTTAAAGCTATGTATTCTGTTTCCACCTTGTACCTTGCTATCATTCACAAACCTTGATCTCTTCTGGGGTAGGGAATGGGTAAATTTATAACCTGGTATATCTCGAATATACTCTCTCTATCTAACAACGGAACAGATATCATAACCAATAGTCGTCTATTTTCCAACAAGGTCACACATCCCAGTGCATTATAATATTTCCACAATTCCTTGGTGGGATCCACTGGCAGTCTTAAATGGTGGGGTAACTCGGCCTGTATTCCGAGTAGCACTCTCTTAGGTGATTCGGGTTTATTATGCTTGGGGAGAGGTGTCCCAATGACAACATGTCTAATTGCGCTCTCACATGTTCCAGCAAGGTCGTCAACGACTGACTAGTTTGTCGTACCTTATTCGTAATTGTCATTAGTTGGAAATATCTTTGCACGAATCCACTCATTTCCTGTAATTCTATCGTTACAGTTTCTGTATCATTAATTACCTCTTGTCTCAACCCTGCCAGGTTATTTATTAGCCAATTGATTCTGGCTCTATTCTTGGCCACTTCCAACCTTGTCACATTTAATATTGTCACACACTCCCTTGCCATTTGAGTCAGCGTCCTCTGGTTTATTTCCACTTCTCCCAGTTTCCTTCTTATGAATTTAACGTCATCTTCAGTCACTGTTCCAAACAGGACACCCAACGCTTTTCCCACAATCGGAACTACTGATCTCTTTACCCGCGTCTGCAGTAACTCTATTCCCTTCAGGTAATTTTGCATATCCCTCCATTGAGCCTCTATCATAGTGGCCTCCGATTCTAGGGAGTGTAATAAACTAAGATATCCTTTCTCCTTGGGATAATCTTGCCCTACCTTCAACCGGGCTGCATCCAGCTGCGTTAGCTCATTTCTTAATTTATTTAGTAGCGACTCGTATGGTTTTAAATCTATCACGAATGTGATCAACCATTTAGACCTGGTTATTATTACTTCACTCGTCTTTTTAAAAATGGTATTTCGGCTGTGCTCCCCAGCTTCCGTCATCGTCACCATCAGTGTGGCTACCATCATCATCATCATCATCATCAACCCTTTCATTTTGATCATTCCTACAAAGTAACAAAATTCTCTTGTTTTTATTCTTCATAACCATTCAGTCTTGCTCAATTCCTTACTCAATTATTCCATAATTTCTTAATAAGTTCAGCTCTTCCCTCCTCTAACTAACTCCTAGCAGACGGAATGTTCCCTTTCAGGTGTGCGTGGCGCCAATCCAAAGGTCGTACTTCATGACACCACTGATGGCCAGTTAGCAATGCCAATAATCTTCTTCCGTCCTTCGTGAGGTGCAGCTCGCGACTCCACTCCCTCCATCCACATCCACCACAGTCAGCCAGCAGGTTTTTGGATGAGCCAGTGTCGTTATCTGTCGACACCGAATGCTTCTATTCTGCACAGCCTTCCTTGTTCTACTGAGACTTGGGGTTCTTCACCCTTCTCAATCTCATCTTTAGAGGTAGTTCTTGCTCGACCTCTAACCTTCCCACTGTGTTTAATTACCGTTCAGGAGGTGTTTTGTCCTCTTCTTCCTCTCCTCATTCTTCCTTCTGTTTAGAGTCCTCGCCCTGGACGTCTTCAATACTTCTTGACTCTATGTTTAAATCTCTCCTGTTTCTTAGTCTTTCTTTGAACTGGGAAACGGGTATTTGATCCTCTTCCTCCCCCTCGTTGAACTCTTCGTCTTGTTTAGGGTGCCTCTTTTTAGAGCTTTTGACTGCTCGATTGGATCTCTTCGCTTTTCTCTTCCT